ACGGGTCAGCTGTTTCACACTGCCCGCAATTTCGCAACTGCAAAATTTTTCTAATAACACAATGTTTAAAATATATGTATACCATACCGTCATAACTTTGATTAACTATCTTCAGAATTCAATAATTTTTGTTTTTTATATTTTTTATATTTTTAAAAAGCCTCTCTGTCGAACTTTATAATTACATTTTCAAAAGGCTAACTAGGTAATTTTTTAATTCATTCTGCCATATGAAAAGTGAACTTATTAAATATTATATTACAGTGTTGTACATAACGAAATAAATAAAATTGGTTTATTAAGTATAACGAAAAAGATACTCTCAAAAAATATGTCGAATATGACTTTTTACCTCGCTCCATATTTAAACATATTACATTAAATTATAAATCATTCGAGCGCGCGCATATAGTCTACTATCACAGATGAAAATATATTTACAATTTAATTATAATAAAATAAATAACATAAATATTTTAGTTCCGCAGCTAAGAAATCGCCCCCTGCATCAACGCCCGTCACCGTATCCATTTGGTAGAAATTGTTGCTTAGGCTGCGTTCACATACATCCAGTTTTCGTTTAGAAAACATCAACTTGCGCGGAATATGGAAGCGAAGCTATTATTGTAAGGAATTGATATAAAAATTAATAAGCAGTAGTAAATAAACACAGTACTACATTCAAAATAGCGATGATGAATTAATATAGTAGACTAATAAAATTTATCTTAATTTTCCAATTCATAAAAATGACATTGGTGCAGGCGGGCTATGTACTTATATTATTTTTTTTTCAATATAATCAAAAGAAAGCACTGTTTTCAAATTAATAAAATTAATGCTTGAAATAAAAATTAAAAGTGGTAATTGTAAGTACCTAATTATGTAACCCAATGTAAATAATTTCTTCCATATTTTCAAAAGCTATAACGGAAATGTCTTGGAATATGTCATTGTCTCATTTTATATTTGTTTATTTTTTAACTTGAGAATTTAAATCAGCCGTCAATAGCTTACCAATGAATCATGAAGTAATAACACCGTAGTCGGTAAACTTTTTCCGATATTTAGATATGCAATAAATTTGTAATTAATTGAACAATACTTATTTTAATGAACAATACTTCTTCCAAAATCATTCTTAGTGCTGACGAAATCGGACGGAGGTCTGAGACAATGTTGCATGTTGTGCGCGCACAAAACACTTTTCGTCCACCGTGTTACCAGTTGGCGTTTTTTTCTTCACTAGATAAAAAAAAATCAGAGTTACCCTATTTTTCATGCAAACGTTATGTCTACCAAAGTGTACTATTTGTACACAAGTAATAATAAAAGCGGCCCTGCGTTAGAGAATGGACTCTAATACAGGGGAGTAGCGGTGAATTTCCCACGGCGGAGCACTTTGGATTATTTGAAAAACGAACACATCTCCAATGTGTGAGTGGAGTCGTTGCACACGGAGCGATATTACGGTAAAACGTTAATAACTTTTTTTTTAAACTTTTATGGCTGTTAACGTTTCCTTTTTAAATGTCAATGGCCATTGTTTTTTCATAATTTAATACATCTTCGCAGGTTGGAGAAAAAAATTTTAAATGCGTATAGAACAATCTTTCTTTGTTCAATCTGATTGTCAGTAATGTTAAATATTTATACGTTATATTATGTGCCGTCGTATTAAATATAGCCGCCTTACAAATTACGTGCGACAGTTGTTTACACAGATGGACTAGTGATAAATTGGTAAAAAAAAAGGAAAATACCTGTACGGAACGAACTCACATAAATACATGATACCATTTTAAAATTCAACAACTCGTCACCGTTCACGTACAAATGGATGTGATTGTGCGTTCGTGTCACTTTTCTTGTAAACTTGCGCAATCCTTGATCCGTCGGAACTCGGAAGGCTGTTCGATCTTATGACGTGGCGGTCACTGCTTCGTTCATGACCAATGGGGAAAAATAATACATTTCTATTGACCAGTTTGAATTTTTTTACTATTTATTTCATGACCTATAAACGCGACGTTCTTATACAATATTTGGACGCATTTGATTTACAAAAACGCAACTAACTATGCTAGTAAACTAGAATTATTTGCCTAGTGACAAATGTTATGCAATACGTTTCAAACGACATTATCGATTTCCTTTTACCTACGAATACGCCTCATAAAAGCTAATTAAATATGAAGCAACCTCTATTAGTAGACGCTAACTAAATATCTAGTCGAAGTGAATGATATGAAAAAAACAGATAGCGACTTATCACAACGAAAATAATATTTAATCAACGTTCATTAATCTCAACACTGAAGTCACAAACATTATGTAAAACGTTATTCCGAAATAAATGCGCGATGTTATTAAAACATCACCTTCCGTCCTTTGTCTTCGTCGACGAGGACGCGAAAAAAAGCGCGCGAAAATAATTCAACGCTATGACTGGTGGAGTAAAATTTTTTCAATTTCTGAACTTGATTCGTCGTTAAAACAACATTATTCGTTCCAAACACGATCCGAGTTCAACATCTAGTAGGTATCGCTCGAAGTATGGTGACCAACCGACGAGATTTCAAAACGAGACATTAAATGTTTTAAGGATCTCACGATATCCAAATTGGTTCGACGCATTTTTATATATTCTCTTACTAGAGTGATTGATATTCACTGATGATTGAGAAGATGTTGGGTTATTGTAATGAAATTGTCGTATTGTCATGTTTTTAATATGAGATAAATTTTATTTTTATATTATCAATAAAAATTTTCGTAAAAGGAGCATTTTATTGTAAGATTAAATAATATATATAAATATAATATCGTGATAATAAAGGAGATTACGTATTTCATATTTGTTTTGTTCAACAAGGAAATCATAATAACTAAGATAATAAAAATGAAGAAAGAATGCTCAAGATATAATAGGAAGTTTATCTTCCACGTCCGAAGTTCGTAAAAGTTCCGAAACATTTTCGTAACATATTTCTTGAATTGTTTACTATAAATTGTACGATTATACATTCTCAAGATATTAACTAACAAATGTAACATTTAAAGCGAATACTTTTCGAATAAAAGCCAACATGGCGACTCTATGCCGGGCGCTTTTTGTGGAAATCTAGTGCTGCTAAAAATAAATTAACTAAAACATTTGAGGTCACAGTATAAGCGAAATTTCGAGATAATGGATCGGATCGGTGCGTGAATTTTGTTTTTATTCATAAGTACAGAACTTCGACATTGTATATTCTTCGAATTTCGATCAACGGGAGTATTGAGATGAATATAAAAATTATAACTTCTTATTTTACCTAATTTTTATCCTCAAGTAGCGTCCTCGATGGTGTTTACGACGGAACTTAAAATCGATATGGCTGTTTAACTACAGTTTTATATTCCATGTTTTTAACGAGATTTTATGTTAACACAATAATGCAAAGGCCTGATGATTAGTTAATTACGAGACTCGGGTGATATTCGTTTCTTTTGTATCATGCCAATCATTATAGGTATTTAAAATAAATATCACAAATGTATAAATACGTATCGCGTAAGCGAACGACGGCGCAGGGTCGTCGACACACCAGTTTCTATATTTTTATTTTTTTTAATGGAAATTTCATTGTCTATAAACTTTCAGCTATAAAACAATATTCATATAACAATAGGTTAAAGATGAAAATAAAAGAACGATTTAACATCTTTTAAATTTTATAAACGACTAGAGGTAAGAAACCGTTAAGGCAGATGTAATAAAATAAACCGCGTTAAATACTAAAATAAAAGCGTTTTAATTTGTGTCAAATTTAACGCTTGTCAATTCTAGATCGTACAAACAATTTTAATAAATTCGTTATTGTTTTCTGGTTATCTTTAGATAACATTATTCAAAGATTAGGTAGGCGCTATGCTAATAGAATGCATAAAGTATTTAGAATTCTTAATACACGCTGTTAATTCTTTAGTGAAAATGTTTGCGTGATCATAATAATATTATTTTTTACTTCATTATTATATTTTTTTATTTGTTTGAAATGTTTTAAACACAACCAGTATTTTTATGATTAGGTTTTTTATGATTATTAACTCAATTAGGCACCATAAGATAGGCAATTAGGCACCATAAATAAAGCGAATAGGGCACCTTACTTTACTGATTCGTTATGAAAAGAAATCATAAATTCTACTTATCACTTATAATTAACTCGTAATAGAAGAGTAGTACACCACAACAAATTATTAATAGAAATTTTAAAATAAATGAATCATGCAGGACAGCCCTAAGTTATGTGTGAGCGGGTAAGAAACATTGAGTTGAGCACACAGACGCGGGCCAACCGTATTCAGAGATGGCAGTGTTCCTGTCAAAGAGAACGTTCCCCGCGCGCGTGTTTTGACTTATTTTCGTCAAACGTACGCCATATTGTTTTATTGTGTTCAATAATCGGCGTTCCACAGCCTGTACCTAGTTTCGCGGAACAAAACAATTTTATTAAACTGATAACGCTCTCACGACAAGCGTTCTAATGTATAAAAAAATCGTTAAACATATAAAAATATTTCATTAACATGAAGCAATGTTTATGTTCTGTGGCAATTGTGGTGTGATTAATTGTTTCTTTTTATCTGTACGAAAAAAAAAAAAGGAAAATAATTTATTGTTGTTTATAATTATTGTTGTGATCAGTGTTCAATAATTAATAAGTGTTTCTTGTTAAAAAGTTGTTATTTTTTTTAAATAATAAATTAGACGTTACGCGATTTTAATAATCAAAACATATGCGTGATACGAGAGGTCTTTCTAAAAATAAGACATCGAAAAATAACTGTTCCTATACCGCGTTGTTTTAAAATTAGTGCAATGGCCACGCTGAAATGGAGAGTGCATTAAAACAAAAATCCTACAATTACAACGTCGGAAATGTGAGCGATTAGTGGATTTGTGAAGTGTATACGTGGATATTTCTTTGTCTTTTGGATTACATTTTATAATTATGGAGAAGCCATCCTATAAGGTATGTTTTTTTCTTATTCTACCTATTTGTATTTAAGTGTTTTACATAAATGATAAAATATTTTTTCTACATTATTAGTTAATGTTATAAAAAAACCTTGGAGGTTCTTTGAAGGTTTCTATTGAGTCGATAAACTGATGCATACTGCAAGAATTAAAATTCAAGCAGCCAAGTAATTAATATAACATATTTGATGACGTCATAGTTATAACTTGCATATAATGACGTGTCTCACAAAAAATCATCAGAGATGGGCCCGTATTATCGCTTTAATTGTGTGTAATTGATTGTGAAATTATCACTTATGTCGGTTCAATGCGGAGTTCGTTATTAAAATTGAAGAAAAATGGATATTGGCGCAACCCTGCCTCTGTGCGCCATATCAGTAAGTGCTAGTGATGGCCAAGTGCCTCGACTCGGATCGATCTTATCGAACTTTTTTTTGTTTAAACTGTTTTGTTGCCCTTTAATATTTTAAATGTATCATTAACATGCACTTCACATATTTTTCTTTCATTCTAATGATATACGGTACAGAGACCTTTTTGAAAATTCATATTTTGTAACATAAAAACATTAATGTATAATATAAAAATGTAATGTATTGACGTCAAATATTTATTTAATTATTATACTATGTAACAAAACTAGTCAAGTCCCTCAGAACGGTGCCAAGGTTTTTTATTAACTCGTAATTAAAAAAAATATTGGGCCAATTTGAATTTATTCTTTTAGTTTATTTCTTTACGATTATAAATATGTTAAACACTTTTATATTTTATGTTTCACTTTTATTATTGTTGTATATGATGTGTTGAGAAATTTCAGTATTCTGCACACGTGTTCTGCGCGTTAAGTGGACGTCTTCGATGCTTTGTCTTAAAAATTAGTGAGGTACATCCGAGAGTTCAGTTATCGATATTTTTTCAATCAATTTTCATCAATTGCAATCTTTTATTATAAAAAAAGATTGCAAATTTAATAGATCTCAACTGGTTCAACACCAAAGAGTTAATTTTGTATAACCTAATTTTTTTGTGTTTATAATATACTTTTTTTGTAACTTTATTTGTGACTGTTTGACACCACAAAAAGTATTTATGCCAAACCAAAATAGATGTATTTTTGTGTAAAATGTATCGTGTGTTAATTCAAAAATTAAACTTTTACTATACTAATACATTTTGAAATCCGTTTACTGCAATGTGTCGGACACACACACACACACACATCCTCATGAATGTTATAAAATGGTCTTTATGTTCAAGGTTCGTTTTATAATTTTTACTTTTCAACAATACCCCATTTAATGTAGTCGTGTAATTAATGCAGGTTGTCGCTTGGTATGGACTGAAGTGCTATACAGTGCTTAAATGAAATTCTCGAGCCTCCCGTTCGTTTGTCTCCGTTGTCAATTCTCGCTCTAATTCTCGGATAACTAATTATTTATTCGATCATAGTCATTGCTTATGACGGAATACGTAATTACTTATGTGCTGAAGCCACTCGCCGCTGACTCAACGCAACCTTGATATTTGACATTATTTTGCATTATTAATTCGTACTGAATTTGGAACGAGGGTTCGCGGAAATGCAGGCCGGTGCGAGACGCGCTCCGCACCGCAGTTCGCACTAGTTTCGCCCGCGGCCTCGTCCGCGTCTGCCGCCGGATTTTCGATCCGATGAGAAAAACTAATGCAATCGAATTTTAAACAGTTTACCCCTCAACTTGGCTTTGGGACCGATAACAGGTTTCATTGCAGGAGTGCGAACGATTTTTTCATACTCTTGTAAGATTGTGTTTGAACATTTTGCTAATGATAATGTAGAAGTTCGAATAATTTAGGACTGAGCTTTGTTGGATCCAAACTAACGAGGACACGTAGCGCATTATTAACTTTAGTTAATTGCGATTAATTAATTAATTAAATAACATAATAGATAGGTATATCCTAGTATATCGTATAGTATGCATGTCCAGTGTTCGGAACCCGTTGAAATCCCGTTGCTGGCACCAATGAAATTGTTAACTTTAACTGCTGACTTATCACGTGCTAAACGGTGAAAGAAAACATCGTGAAAACATGCAAATATTTATGTATTACTTATGCTTATGCTTTCTAATACATAAGTTGATATTTTAAATATATATAGGTTGACACATACTTTTATATTATTCACATATAATATCATGTTTTGATGGTGTAAATGAATGCGTCTCAAAAGAGATACATTGCTGAATACGAAACGTTAAAAGTAAAAAAACGCTTTTAGCGTAACACCGAGATTCCTCGTAGTTCTCCGTTTTATACGACGATGCAGACAGTTTACGTCAAAATGTCTACCTCAATGCGTTATACAAGACCAAATTCGGATTGCATAACCTGCATAATTTCCACTCCGCGTTGTTTTTAATTAGCAATTACAATGGATCGATTTTGTGTCATTAAGGACTCTGTACTTTGACGTTTAATTAACGATATGTAATAGTGACATAATTTTAATTCAGAATGTTAAAAAGAAATTTTCTCAATGGTCCAATTCATAATCACAATTTTCACGATCAGAGAATTAATACATTTTCTATGGTTTCATAAATTATTATTATATCGATGTTACCGCATTCCCAAAGGGCGACATCTATAAATTAGTTTCGTAATTCGACCATAACCTTATTCGAAAATTCGACGAAAGCATTTTGTTATAAATCTAATCTTAAACATTCGTACATTGTGTATTTGAGAGGAGTTCATAGTCGTCGGTACTATACTAAAAATCGTAACTTCAACGAAATACTGAATTTACAATTACTGATCTGTTTACGGTCTGGTTACGTTACGAATTATACGTTCATCATCCATCACACATCATACGTTTGCAAACGATAAAATGTACCATGCAAGGTGGTACCTTACGAACCTATATATTGACTCATGACGTTTGATAAGAGCACGCGTCTATTTGAATGAATATATTTTGAATTTGAAAAGTAACCGTATCGATATCCCGCTATCGATAAGCCCCATCCCTACCGCTGCCATTCGCCTGGTATTATGAGCGGTTTACAAAAGTTTTTTCTCTCGCCACCCCGGCGAGCTCAGCTCGGGTTCCGCGCACGTAACGACGCGTACACTAAGCTCGCCCCGCGGTTCTCGATGTCAACACTTGTGATCTATCGAACCAGACGACTGGTATGATTTTACCTTTCGTTTTATGTCGAACACTGTTTATTATTATTGTTTAACACACGATAGAGGAATTTATTTTGAAGTTACACTTTTGGAAAAAATGGAGTAAAATTGCGCACACAGACAGCCAAAAAGCGTGACACGATAAAGTCATTTGCAAAGCGACTTTCAGCAGCCAGCAACAACTTTTTGATATTTACCTAAAATTCAAGTAGGTAATTTAATTAAACCGTTATCAATTGCATTCAGTCTTTTTTACAAACGAAGGGTATTTTTTTGTCACGCTAAACAAGTGTTAACTTCTTACTCGCAAGCATGAGAACACACAAATTTTTTTTTTCGATTATTAGGGTTCCGTACCTCAAAAGGTAAAAAAAAAGATGTCTTGTCCGTCTGTCCGTGTGTCGATATTTTTTGTGTTATTAACGTTAATATGAAATTTATGGCACATGAAATTAATGCGGATCGGCAGACATCACATAATATGGTCCGAATATTTATTATGTTATTACGTAGATATGAAGAAAGGGAAAAAAAAAGATAAAGTCAAAGTTTGGTCACAGTCAAAATTTCTCTTTTCAATATAGGCTCATTCAAAGCTCTTATTGAACGTCAAAAAACTGCCACAGTTCATTGAACTACACCAGTTTCTGAGAAGAAACGGCAAGAAAGTCTCGTGTTGATATCTTTTTTTAAACGATATAAGTCAACAAAATTATTTAGGTATAAAATCGGCAGCAGCCAGGGGACTTGCAAGTGCAGAGCAAGAGTCATTTCCACACGTTAGCTAAAAAAATGGACGAAGCCTTCACCCTACAAAGAGGTTCTCATTTAAACAATTGAAATTTAGTTGTAAATTTATTATAGTATTTGAAATTCATATTAATATTAATTCGAAATATACTTTATATAAATTTACCATATTGAACTTGTTATAAAATATATTAATAGACACATAAATACATTAATTATACAATAATCTTTTACATGTAATACAATATAATGTTAAAAGCGAAATAATAAATAAGGCTTAAATAAATTAATAAATGGGGTAGCTTTTACAAAATGTTCGCAATTGTTTATTTATGCAACATTTCGCTTTTTAGTTGTTTGTGTGTTTTAGTTGTTTAAAGCATTTTATAAATTGAACGTTAAGACATTTTAGCGTCAATTCTCCCGAGATGGAGTGTGGAGACCGCGGGGCCTCCATCCGCTTTGCCGTGCGCTCCTCACCGCCCCTAGCCAACGACAAACAGTCAAAGTCACACACAACAGGCTGACTCCGTGGCGCAGCTGCCGCGGCGTTGGCGATCGCGGGTTCGATTCCCACACGGGACAACTGTTCGTGTGACCCACAGATGATCGTTTCGCATCTGGGTGTTGGTCCACGTGAAATATATTTATTCGCACCGGCCTGCACTTAGTTGACACTTATCATTAACTATATTTTGGTCAATTCACACAATATCTTTAATAATAATAAAAATCGTCAATACCGATACAATAATACACACAAACTAATGTGAGAGTGAAGCTAACGCACAAGTTTATAAAAAACACCTTTTGTAATAAAATTTTATAAAAGACACCAATTTACCTAGTAAGGTAACTATGTTAATAAAAAAGTAATTAACTATGTAAAATGTCCAATTTATCAGTCAGCGCGACACGCAACGGTTGCTAGGCGACAATTAAATAATTTAAAAAATGAAACAGCTAAATAACCGGCCAAGTGCGAGTCGGACTCGCGCACGAAAGGTACCGTGTACTCGCGTACCGTGATTCTATAAAAACGGCAAAAAATCATGACTT